AGTTCCTCAGCCATATGCTCCTGAGCTGGGGAGCACTGCCCAAGCAAGGCCATGTGGCCAGAGTGGAGGGCCTGCCACTTAGTGGCCAGAGTGGAGGGCCTGCCACTTAGTGCCCAGCATCAGAGTCTTGGCTGCCAGTGCATTTAACAGAAGTGAGAAGAGTGCCACCAGTAGGCAGGTGTTGAGTCTGCCGTAGAGAGGAGCTTCAGCTTCCTCACCAGGAAGTGGGATGATGTGTCTCTTGGCAGTGAACTGAGGCTAGGCAGGATAGTCGAGAGGACCGCTGGGAATTGCTGGGGTTTACAAATAAGGAGGGAAGGAGAGCTAGAGAATCCAGACTGGTCTAGAAGTGAGTGTTGGTTGCCTTTCCCCTTTCTCTTCTAGTCTATGAATGACTAGTGTATTGGTGACCAGCTTGGCAAGAGCATTTAACAGATGGTAGCTGTCACTGTTTGTCATCAAACACCTCCAAGATGCCACCTCTATACAAGTCACAAGGTGGGATTTAAAGAAAAACTGTATGAAATGGGGGAGAACCTCACCCTTAATGGTTCTGTAGTGTCCCTGGAGTGTACCATCAAAACCACAAATTGGTAAGCAACATGCAAAGCAGTATGTTTCTGCTGATAAGTGCTGAGTGGAGAAGGAGAAGTAAGTGTCTCTAGCTCTGTGGGACAGACCCAAGGAGAACGGTGAGTGTTTTCCAGCTGGCCAGAGAGTTTAGGGTGCTGATAGCTCCCTGGGCAGCAGAACAGGGTTTGCAAGGTATCAGGAGTCAACTCAGTTGCTGGTGAATTACTAAAACATCAATCACCTGTGATATTTGCATAAAGATTAGACTGGTTTTTTGCTATCCTGATACTTGTTACTGAATGAGAGCCCCTGAACACAGCCATGGCTTGTAACTTGTATCACCTCCTCAAAGAGATGTTCCCACAAATCTTGAAGCCAAGCTGCACGGACTGCCTATGTCTCGCACACTTCCTGGCACACAGAAGACTCATTAAAACTTGGGGAAGTTTTTGTCCCCCACTTCCATATTCCCAATATTCATTTGAAAGGCCTAGCATCATCCAAGTGACCCAGCAGCCTGGTGATAGTGGTGGGGAATGAGGAGGCTTCACTGCCATGGCCAGTTTGAAGGCTACCAGGATCCTGTCTGCTCTGCAAGCAGTTGTCAGATGGCCTGAGCAACGGTATCTCTAGTGTTTGTTTTACTTTTGTTTCCAGCTATATGAAGACTATGTTATATATAGCCCTGGTAGGAGAAAAAATCTAAACAGAATCATCCTGAATAATTTCAGAAGATGGAACATTTCCAAGCAATTTTTAATATAAGGGTTCATCACTGTGATAATTTTTAGGGCCTTATCTTAACCAGCACAAATACATGTTTTCAGTCATAGTTCATAAGAAGTGCAGTATTAAAGCATGGTTATTTCTCTAAAATGTCACTTATTCAAAAAACAGAAAAAGCAGGGAGCAGTATACTATGCCCTTCCATTGCATTCCACCTGCCTCCTCTCTTCCCAAGAGGCAGATGTTTCTGGGAAGGCAGCCTAATCAGATTATTTCTCAGTTCTACCTGAATGGTTAAACTACATGAAGTATGCAGATAAGAATGGTGTCCTCTGTCTGGATGCTTACTCTTCTTTTGTAGACTAAAGTAGTCATCATCTCTTTCTCTGGTTCTGGACCATGAAATGAGACAGGAAGAGATGAGCTTCAGCATTCACAAGTCTCCACAGTCCAGCCTGAGGGCTTCAGCAGGCTCATGGCCCAGACAGCCTACATAGGACCCCTCCATTTGGAAGCTTCTGCCTTGGAAGGTTCCATTTGCTAAGAAAAGGGTCCTGGATTACAAACTGCCAATAGACTATCGAATACCCTCAGTTCTTATGTAAACTATAATCTTCTCAGCTTAACCTTGCTATGGTGGTTTACAGAACTGTAAAACCAGCTAGCATTTTCCAGCTAGTCTGCAGTCTGGAGCTCCCCACATAGCCACTGAAAAGTAGGCTATAGAAACTAGGCTGAGCTGGCCTTTGTCAGGGTATGTGGGCAACTCTAGAGGCAAGAGAAAGAAGCAGGGCACAGAGGCAGCAGGGTATTTACTTCTGCTCACTCTGATTTCAAACAGCTCTCTGGCAAAATCTGAGGAATTGTGCAGCCAAGGGAGGATGATTGGACAGGCCACTTTGGGTATTTATGTGATTATGATGATAATGAATACATAATGTAGATGACTTGATTTTGAATAAATTCAAAGGAAATCTTGGTGTAACTCTTTCCTATCAGCCCTATCTAAGCTTGGTATTCTGCATGGCTATAGGAAAACAGCTTGTTCATTGCTGGATCAACATAAGTGTGCATTACACATTCGTTTGTTCATTCACTCATTCATTCATTCAATAGACTGCTGATTCACCAGGGGGTGAAATGGCAAAGGAAATATACATGACTCCAACCCTCAAGGTGCTTACAGTAATTCTGCCACATAAACCCACTTTAACTTGGAGGAGGGACCCAAAGACTGGTGGAACCATTCTAGGAATAAGGCCCATGCTCCCTCCCCCCACCCCATGTAGAAAGAAGACTCTTCAGCTTAAGCACTGTACTTTTTTTTTCCCCCATAGATGCTATAGGAAAGGACAAAGAAGGAAAATGAGCAGATATTTATTGAGTAGCTGCTTTGCCCAGCTCAGAGGCTTGTGTTACCTCATCAAGTAGCCCAGGCTTTGAGAACTTGCCCTGGTGTGTAGCACCAGAATGGACTGTGCACTTCAGGGAGCAGCTTGGCCTAGAAGAGAAGAACTGTCTTTGAGTATTCCTAAGACTTTCCAGTGCAAAAGGTGTTCCAGGGAATACAGGCACCACTGTGCTGAAGTTACAGGAGAGGGTTAAACCTGTGAAAAGGCACTTTGTACAAATAGGGTGAACTGACAAGATGAGTTAGTAAGGACCCTGTTTTTGGAAGACCTTTAGAAAAATTGGCCACAGAGTGGGAGATGGGATCATCTGATCTGCTACTGCCTTGTACGGTGCTGTGCCTGGGGGAACCTCAAGAAATATACAAAGAGTTACCCTGCAGATCTACTTGCACATGTGTACAAAGATATATGTAGAACAGTATTCATCATAGCACTGTTTAGGATGAGAAAAGACTGGAAAGTAACCACATATCTGTCAGAGAACAGGTTAAATAAACTATCATATTGCCATACCCTGATATTGTAGCTCATCCATTCAAAAATATGTTCTTTATGAACTATGAAAAGAACGCTAAGATACATATTATTCAGTGGAAAAAGCAGGACACTGAATTACACATGTGGGATATCTCTGTTAGTATGAAGGGGTGTGGCATGTGCTCCTATGCTCACCTCTGTTTGAGTAGAAATGATCGAACAGGATCAGTGACAAACGAGTTACATCAATTGCCTCAGAAGAACCAGCAACTGGGAGGCAGGGATAGGAGGGAGATTGTTCTCTAAGTAACTTTTTATATCTTTTGAATTTTGAATAATAAATATAAGTAAAAATATTTTTTAAACTTAAAATTCAGGCTTTACTGAACTGGAGCCTCAGTTGACAACAGAGGGGTGTGGAAAGGAAACTAATTTTTATTGGGCATCTACTGTGAGCCAGCCCTTCAGCTAGATCTCTGTGTACATGATATCTTTGAATCCACAGAGCTCTGCAATAGGAGGCGTATCTTCCCCTGTGTTTATACACTTAAATCCAAAGCTTTTCAGGGTGAATACACTCACCTGAAATGGTCAGGGCCAAAGAAAGTGATGTCTGGGAGTAGCCATTTTCTTCAGGGGACAGTGCTCTGGGCTGGCTCTGCACTGCTGGAGCCCAAAGTAGAAAAACACCCCAGTTTACTCCAGGGCTGTTGTGTTTTCCTGTGCTTTTGCTGAGCTTAGGGATGGAGATTTCAGTCTCCGTTAACAGGCAGTCTGGTGTCTGAGCCTGTGGTCATTTCTATGGCTGGAGGAAAATACCTGCTGAGCTCTTGGCTGCAAGGGGAGAGAAAGCATTCACCCTATGCTCTTCTGCTGGGTGTCAGCTGTACCTTTTTGTCTGCCAGCTGGAGGCTGACTGGAGAGTTGTTTTTCTGATTGTCAGACCCAGGCTTCTTACTTGCACTTAGAGGAAAAAACATTCAAGGTCTAGTACAAAAGGTCCTCTTCTCATTTCTTTGGAAAAAGCAGTGAATGAGCTCATTATCATTGCAACCCAAGTAGGAGGGGAAAGGAGGAGAAAAAGGCGGCTTCTTCTGGCTATCTGGCCAGGCTTCCTGGGATGGGGGTTGGGGTTGGATCTGGCCTAGAGTGACCAAAACCAGATGGCTGGGACAGGTGGTCTTTATCAGGGGTAGTGCTGGGGGCATGTGGATGCTTTGAGGCCTGCTGTCTCTGTTGTGGTCCAGAGGAAAGGCAGTATCTGTGTCCCTTTTGCCCTCAGAGCAGAGCTGTATTCAGGGTTATGTGCCTACCTCCCCTTGCCTTCCAGAAGGTTCCTTTGTTCAGGTGCTGTAGATATTGTCCACACCCCAGAACTGGTGGTCACACAATGTCAGTTATCTCTAGAGTGCTCACAATTTGCCATGCACAACTTAGGCACTTGGGGTATCACATGGAACAAGGCTAGCATAGGCTCTACTTTCATGGAATTTAACTTCTGCAATGAGCAGTGAAACATGCAGTTCTGTCATGTGGTTGCCCCCTCAACCCAGACTCTGCTGGGGCTGGGAGTGCGGCACCAGTGGCTGGAAAGGGAGGCTCCTTAGCATTTCTAACATCTGAACCCAGCTTATCACCATCTCAGTCCTTCAGAGCAGGAGGAGGGCTTTTGTAGACCTGAGCAGCAGAGCACTAACACCCTGTAGGTCAGTGCTGGATCTGGGAATGTCTGAGAATGGCACTGATGGCAAGCTGGCAATGCTGATCCCAAACCTGACCGTCTCCTCTTTGTCCCTCTTCCTTCCTTTTCAGATTGAGAAAATCATGAGTTCGATTGGAGAAGGGATTGACTTTTCTCAGGAACAGCAGAAGATCTCAGGTATGGTACCAAGTGGCCTTTCCCCACGGAACATGGGCCTTGGGGTCTGACAGATGCTGGTTTTCCTTTTGATATAAGACAGGCATTTAGTGGGTGGGAGGGGCAGCTGTAGATCACATCATGCTCTTACAGCTTTCCGTCTTCCATGTTGGAGAGCCATCTTGCTGTTATTTTTAGAGACATAACTCCTTCTGCATATCTGAGAGGAATTGTTTGAACTGAATCTGAAGCTGTCTATTAAGAAGAAAGTTTTTAATGAACAATTGCCATGTATTCATTATTTCCTACAATTTGGGCTTTTCAGTTTGCCTCAAACTGGAGTGGCTATCACTGCTGGTCTCCCCAGCTCTGGAGGTGGTGCTGGTGCCAGCTTGTCATGAGTACATGGTTATTGCTCACCTTATCTGTGGCAGTGGCAGTGTGTGGGACTGGACCAGTGGCTTCAAACTATTCACACGTCAGAATCCCCTGGAAGGCTGGCTTTGCTTTTACCTCCCGTGTGTGCTTTCATTTTCTCAGTCACCTACCATTTTTACCCTTTGTCACTGCTACTTGGGTCATTCTTTTCATGTCTAAGCCCTTGGGGTGAGGTCTATCTCTGTGAAACAGGACCAGGGAGGTATCTGGGCCATGTTGCCTTAGTCTTAGGGTCATGTGTGTTTCTTTCTCATGGGAGGAGAGGTCCTTAAGTGCCTCTCAGAGCAACCCTTATACCCCTCCCCCAGCATCTGCATGGAGTTCTGGTACAGGATGAAAGCAGCTAAAGCAGCCCAGAAGGACCCTGGCTATCCACACTGATGAGCAGGCCACTCTGCCCTGAGGGTTGGGGTTTTTTACTTACTCAAACGTTCCATCCAGAATTGACCTGAAAGTCTCAAGTGGTACCTCCACTTCCTTAGTGGGCCTTTGTGGCCCTACCAGGGTATGCAAGAGTAGAGTTAATTGTGTACCTCAGGGAGGAAGGAGCTGCTGAGGGAGCCTGCCTATAGGTCCACATGTTTCTGGGCAGGTCACCTAGTTTTACTGAGCCCCTGCCCCTCATCAACATTTGATATTAGTACTAATCTAATAGTGTTGTTGTAAATGAGCAAGATATACAAGTACCTGAGCAAAAGAGGTGGCCAATGATAGTAGCTCTGTCCATTTTTGTCCATGAATCATTGCTTATTCACACTGAGAAACCTAGAGAACAAAGGCGGCTGCTTCCCTGGCTTGTCTCCCTCCCCCACTTTTCAGTCTTAGAAATCCTCCCTCCATCTGCCCTGTTTTCCTGGGTTCTAGCAGAGGGGACTGACCTGGGTTTGGCCATCCTTGTTAGTCTTGGATTATACCACATAGGTCTTCTGGCTAGGAGCTTGTGATCCTTTTCCTGGCAGTTACTTGCATTCTGTCAAGCAATCTCACATTCTGCTGTAGTGTGTAGGCTTTTCCAAGGAGCAAGTGTTTTTTGGGAATAGATGTTTAGAACTGAGACAGACACGGATGCCACTTTGAAAGTTGTGCTTTGGGACCCTCAGCTGGAATCAAGAGCATTCAGTTTGTCTGAGACCACCTTCTGCTTTCCTGTCCTCCCTATGTCCAAGGTGCAGGAGGTGAAATCACTTACATGTATACATGGACTTGCTGCCTGAGTCAGAAGCAGACTATTGCCTCATGGATTCTGTTGGTCAGGGGATGTGCAGCACCTGGGGAAGAGCCTTCTCCTGGGTGGGGATAGTACTGAGTTCTTCCTTGCTGTCTGGTCGTACCTATGGAAGTGTGAGAGGTGTTCTTTCTGGTCTCCAACACCCAGTCTTGTCTTAATGCTCATTTGGCTGAGCTACCTTCATGTGCCAGAGCAGGCACATGCCGGGGTCACCCAAAGAGAGGGTGACCCAGCTGTGCTACCAAGAGAGCCCCGGCCCATAGTGTTTGCACCATGGCTGAACTAAGAAGTACAGAGGGGCTGACTCAGATTTACTTGAGGGCTCTGAATGACGGGCCACAAGGCCTGTGCCCAGGACCTCCTAGAGCACTATCTTTCAGCTCAGACCACAGCGAAATTACTGTTGGTTTCGAGTGGTCGGCTTCAGGATTCAGCTGTCCTTGGGTTTCAGGATTGGGGAGAAGAGACCTGCACTCTGGCATTAGCCTGGAAAGAGGGGCAGGCACTGCAGTAAGCCGTCCTCAACCAGGTTAGGGGCTGCTCAGCATGACCAGCTTTGCAGATGTCCTCCTCTAAAGGGCAGGGCTGCAACACTGGAGTCCTAGTCTTATTTGGGGGCCCCTGGCTTCCAGCACTGGAGCTAGTTACCTGCATCCCCGAGAGACATGTTTTACAACTAACTCATCCCTCTGCCTGGCCTCCTGGAGGCCAGGAGAGCAGCCTTCCCACCCACCCAGGCCACTCTTTCAACAAAGGCACACTCTGCCAAACAAAAAGAAACTTTTTGGCTCTCTGTTGCTAAAGCATTCCTGTTTTCACTGTTGAGTAGCTGTTGAATGCAGTATCTTTCTGGGACCTGATCACCCTAGACACAAAGCCCATTCTTTGCCAGCGTCTACGTGTGGCCTGATGGAATGCAAGTACCTCCTAGAGTAATTAGAATGTTAACAGGTAGTCCCTGTACACACATAACCTTGTGTCCCTTGACCTTGGCTGTTCCTGTCTTTTGCTATCCTCCTCCAAACTGCATATGGCCTGCTCTGGGTATAGTGTGTCTCCCCTTGTGTCTAACAGGCCCAGAGAAGAGTCTGTCCCCAGGTTGTTTGGTAGATTTACCTGAGGAACATCAGGTGCTGTGGCCTTATTTTGTTGCCTGTTTTGGGAATGAGAAGCACAGTCCTTCCTGAAGTGGCAGGTGGGCTGTGCCCTCAGCCAGTGTCATTTCTCTGTCCCCTCCCCTGGCTGTCCTAGATACTGCTGGCCAAAGCTACAGGAACAATTCCTCTCTATTCTCCATGGAAAGCAGTTCCCAGCCCCTTTGCTGGAGGTGAAGTTTTGCCATCTCCCCTCTCATTTGCCTTTGCATCGCTAGCATCATGCAGTGGGAGCCTGTCATCCTGCTCTGATGTGGGTGCTGCTCTCCCTTCTCCTTCAGTAGCAGCAGCAGCAGCAGCAGCAGCTTCAGCTCCGATGTCCGATCCCTGATATATTTTCCAGAGTGTGGAAGGGGGAAGGGCGGAAGGGGAGAAAGGGGAGGGCCAAACATTACGAGAGTGAGCAAGGACTGTGGAGCCGGCAGCAGGCAGCGTGGAGCCCAGGAGCCTTTAGACAAAGCATTTTGCTGCAGCTCTGTGAGTGCACACATCCACCGGCAGCAGGCAGGACCACAGCTGCCCAGCTACGTGTTTAAAGCAGGAATGAATCAGCAGCCACAGCCACGAGACTTCATGGGCATTCAAGAGCCTGCCACTTAGGTTCCTGAAACAGACTTGTTCAAGGGCAGGAATGCTTCAGGAGCCCTCAGACTCGGCATCCTGAAGGGCTGCTGGAGCTGCATTTGGAGGCCACCGGGTCCCTGACCACTGCCTGTTCTGCAGAGGACAGAGGAGAGGGGGCGGAGGCTGCCTCAGTTGGTCATCAGGGTTTCTTAGATAACCAAGCAAGTTGCCATTATCCTGCCCTGAAGGGCAGAGAATGCCTGGAACCAGCAGAATGACTTTCACCGTGTCAAGAGTTCCTTGGATGTGATATTTTTGTGGTTGGCTTTTTCCTTCCTTGTACCTCTTTTTCCTTCCCTTCTTTTTCTCCTTTTTCCTCCTTTTACCTGTTCTTGCCACAAGAATCAGAGAAGGTATTCATTTCAGAACATCCACGAGCTTCCGGGAAAGGCTGAACTTTTGTCCTCCCTGCACTGCCACAATTCCTGTCTTGACCAAGGAGTATAGCAAATAAATGTCCTCCCTTCCCTGCTCATCTGTAAAGGAGACTGTTTGAGATCCAGAGACATGGGAAGATAGTTGTCTTTATCACTCAGCCAAAGACGACAGCACAGAATGTGAATAGACTTAAGCCGCCGCAGCTCAGCTGACAAGACAGCTTCCTTTTTTTCTCTCTTTTATTTGGTTGGGTTTTGTCTTCTTTAGCCAAGAATTGAATCTGCCTGCCTGCTTTCCACTGGAGCAGGCAGGCAAGTCACAGAAACAGCCACTATCAGAAGAGGAAAATGAATGTCCAGCCCTTGCAAGCCAGCCCAGCCCAGGAAGGCAGCTCTTGAGACAACACTCTGGCCTTGGAGACGCCCCACTTGCCAGCCACCAGAGTCTAGCTGTGGATGGGCCCTAGCCCTCTGGCCACACAGCCCAGCGGAACACGATGCTGCTATCCCAGCAGAGCCTTACCTGAGCCTGATCCCCACACCTTAGCCCTCGTTCCTTACCAGCCCCCTGGCTACTTTGTGCCTCAGAGCACTCAGGACCAGGGCCATGGTTTGCTTATTCCGGGACTGCTGGGGGAAAACAAGTAAAAGTCTCTTTTCTACCCCTGCCATGTTCTGTGCTGCTTGTGTTGCATGTGCTGGGTTCCCGTGAACAGCCGCCGCTGTTCCTTCGCGGAGCCCTCGCTGTGTGCCTATGTCCCTCAGCTGCATGAAGATGTGTGCTCTCTCCTGACTGGTTTATGCTGCAAGGTCACAGAACTTGCCCCTAACCACGGCCCCGCAGGGGCTCCAGAAGTTGCATGGATGAGAGGAGCAGCTAGGCTTGTGGGCACTTAGGAGCTCCTCCCCCGGCCCCTCCAGTGCCTATGGGGACAGACTTTTATGCCACGCCTCAGTGTGAATACTGATGAGGAGCTGACTTGGAGACTGTTGGGGGTTGGCTTCCCCCGACTTGGGGGCAAAGTCGTGCATGTGCCACTGTGGCCCTGGAGCAGCTCAGACTGCAGAGGTGTGAGTGAGTGGGCAGCAGCGGCCCAAAGTTGGGTAGTAGTGTGCAGTGCTGGGCAGCCCTGTCCTTGGCCTGTACATGGAAGAGTTGCTGTATGTTCACTGCTCTCTGGTCTCTTGTATATAATTTGGCTGCCTTATGGTAATGACAATGATGTGGCAGTGCCATCTGTCTTCCTCTGAGTGCCGCTGCTACCGTCTTAATGGTCTTTCCCTTTTCAAGCGTCTGCCGATTCCTCTCTCGTCAGGTTCGCGGACGCTGGAGCAGAGCGTTGGGGAGTGGCTGGAGTCGATTGGGCTGCAGCAATATGAGAGCAAGCTGCTTCTGAATGGCTTTGATGATGTTCACTTCCTGGTAAGTGCTCACAGGCCATTTCATAGCAGTTTTGCCCCAAGAAAATATGCCCTCTTGACTTCCCTGGCCCTGCTGGAATTTGAAACAGTGTGTAGCTCTGTTTCCAGGAAAGAGCTAACAGATGACGTGGACACCAGGTAGTCAACCAAGTGTCATATGCCTTCTTTCTAGACGTAGTTCTATGGGGAGAGCTCACAGAAGGGTGCTTGACTCAGATCCTTATCCCAGCCCTGCCTCCCTCTCATATCTCAGACCATGTGGTAGATGGCAGCCAGGCCAGCTCATTTGGAGCCATATCCTAGCTCAGCTGGAGTTTACTTTAATTAAAGGAGTTTCCTTTAATTCTCCAAAGTGCTGTCAGTGAGTTGGCCCTGAAGCATCAGGATCCAGGCCCAACCTGCATTGCCTTGTGTGCTCGTGGCCTCTGAGATGTTCGGAGAGAGGCTGAACTTTGATTTGGCTGCTTTTCAGGGGTGTAACTCTGCACTGTTCAGAACTCCCTGTGGAGCAGGGACCTGTCTCAGACTTCGGAGCCAGTGTTCCCTCTATCAGTCTAGAAGATGGGTCAGAGCAGGGCTTCATCATTGTTCTTCTGTTAACCCTGCCCAACTTGTCCTCATGGGTCAACTGAGGCAGTGCCTGGGCAGTGGCTGAACATTGGGCTTCAGCATCAAAAGAGCAGGTCTTTGACATCACAGTAACAAAGTGACAGTGGACGCTTGTGTTTATTGTGGGCTGGGTGCCATGCTGAGTGAATTACAAGTGAGCTCAGTGGTTTCCCAGCACCCCTGAGGTGTGTGCTGTTTTCACCTCCATTTTCCACGTCAGGAGATAAGGTGCAGATGTTAAGTGGCTTCCTCAGGGTCACACTGCCAGTAACTGGCAGAGTAGAAATGTGTACCTAGATGCTCTGGGTCCAGAGGTCATGCAGTGACCACCATGTTACACAGCCTCCTTGAATGGGGGTGCAGGCATGGGTATAATAGCTTGTGTGCTAATCGTCATCTTGGAAGCTTGGTTTGAGGTAAATATAGCAAATCCCCCACTGCCCTGTTCCTCCTTGTTTCCTGGAAGGCTTGTCTCCCACTCTTGCAGCCCCCTGGAATGCAGGCTGCTCCAAGACATAGAGTCTGTCACCCAATGTGGCCTACACCTTGGTTGAGGGGCAGCACACACACCCCACCTGTCACCCGCTCTCAGCCAGGCCACCCTGGGTTTACTGCTGAACCAGTTGAGTTTGGTGTCTGCCCAGGAAGGGGCCCTGACTGGCATCACTCACCTTGCCAAAGCTTGATCCTTCCCCAGGAGAGGCAAGAAAGTCCGTATAAATCACCCTTCCAAAGCCAGCTTCAGGCCAGTGCTTTTCCAGCTTTTAAAATCTTAAGTTTTAAAATAGCAGTTTGTTTTTCTTTCTTTTTAAAAGTTTAAGTATATTTATGGTTCTTGTGACCTAACTCCTGATTCACCACACTCCTTGGGGAAGGAACAAACACAAACCAACACAGAGGTGGACTCAGCAAGGGAATGGGATCGACTAGCCCCTGGCACTGAGGTTTTAGGGTCTCCCCTCCCTAAGTACACCTCTTCATCAGACTGGCCTACATATGGATAAGTGACGAACGGTGTGGCAAATGCTAATTTCAGAAAGGCTTACGCTCATGGCCCTTGAATGACCCCAAGACTCCCTGGAACCACCTCCCTACCTTTCCCTGCCCAGACCAGAGAGCAGCAGAGTGGGAATTTGGGGACAGGTGGCATGGACCAGATGTCCACACAAGGTGCAGAACTCTACTAGGATGTCCCTTTTCCTATGCCAGAAGGATCCTCATCACAGGAGGCCAGCAGCTCAGTGCTTCCAGATCCTTCCAGGGGCTTTAGGATCTGGTGCTGAGTGTGCCTGGGCTGAGCATGTTACTTCATATACCTGGGGTGGTCGAGGTAGCCATGCACAGCATCCTGGCTAATTGCATGTAAACTGCCAGATGGCCTTAAGGCTGGTTAGGTTTTAGCAACCAGGAAAAGAGAAAGCACAGAAAGATGAGTGCTTTTGTTATCGAAACATTCCCTCGTTCCATATGGTATAATTTCCATCATGTCAGCCGTGGTTTATCCCCCAAGGTTTGGTTTGCAATAGGATATGAATGTTTACCTTGCATCTGAAATGCCCTGAAGATGCTTCTACCAGATGCAAAGTATCTCCAGATGTTTTGGGAACATCTGGGCACAAGGTGTTCACAGACAGGGTACTGCTGTGGAATTCCCTGTGACAGGAGGAGTACAGTGCACCTGGGAGTGCCATGCAGCACCCTCTCAGGGTGAAGAGACTTTGTCTTCATGTGGTCTGATTGTCCTCTTTATGCCTGGATTTTCCTCTTCTCTCTATGAGTGGATGTGAAATCAGAGCAGCAAATAATGTAATATCTTAAGGAGCATCATGGTCCAGCTGGGGAAGCAACACATAAAGCAATAAAAGAACTAGCGCTGCCAAGTGTTGAGGCCAAAGTAGGGGCTTCTAGTGCTGCAGGAGCGGAGGGGAAGAGACTGAAGCTGCGTACAGGAGTTGCAGGTGAGGCCATGGGGGCTCAAAGGGCAGAGACACCAGCCCCAGTCTGTTCAACCGTGACCTAGGACTTAGGAAGAGTCTAGAGAGAGGACAGGCAGTTGAGGAGAGCTGAGCCTGCCTGTGGTAGGAGAAGAGACTTGACTTGAGTAGTGGAGGGCTGGGCCCTGATGAGACAGAAGAGGTGAGCTGGACCTGATCTCAGGACTTTGAAAACCATGTATAAGGGTCTCTGAGCCCTGAGTGTGTGTGTGGTGTGGTGCAGGGTGGAGTGGGATTGTGGGGGGCAGCCTTTGTCCTGTGGCCCTCAACAGGCAGAAAACCCCTGAGCCTGGGTGTACCTTCAACCTCCAGGCCATGGTTGAGAGTCTGTGTGTGGGGCTGTCACTGCTGGATTGCATATAGGAAGTGGAAATGAACCCAAGGCAGGCTCAGGTGAGCTGGAAACAGACACAGTCACAAGGGCACAGTCAGACGACCTCCTGCTCCTCCCCTTGATTTCTTTCTCCGTGGGCTTCTGTCATCTGTCAGATAGGCTCCCATTATATCCCTACCCGTTCCTGAGACTTATTCCCCACATTGGAGAGAGCCAACAGGTGGAGTGGTGTGAATCCTGAAATGAAAGGGCCAAAAGGCCCTTCGTTATTGATGTTCATGAAACTTTCTAACCAGGTCTCAAACCCCTGAGGGGCCTCTCCTGCTCCTGTCTCCTGGGTTTGCTGCTCGCCCTTCAGCCCTCTAAGTCACTTCATGTGACCTAAAGACTAGAGCCCTGGGATTTCTGCCTGACCCCTGCTCCCTCCTCCCGCCTTCCTCTCTTTGGCTTTTTCCATCCCAAGTCCAAAGAACTACCATTCTGAACAGAGGTGCCATCCCAGTGCTGTGCTGTGGGCAATACATCACTGCCTAGGCTTCCTCTCCACCAACCTCAGCTACCCATCTGTCTGCATGGCACCTTATGAGCCAACTGCTGTGTTGGAACTTTCTGTGTCCAGTTGAAGTAGGGACTAAGCCAGGTGAGCTAAGGCTCTACAATGGCGCTGCCTCCTGGACTAAGGAAATCCTGTCATCACCTAAGAGTTGAACTCTCATGATGCCACAGGGGCCTCCTGACTTACCAGCCCTTCTTCCCTCCCTCACCCCTGGCTGACTCAGCAGCCTTCTTGCTTTGAGCCCAGCACATAGGCCTTGGCATCCACACTGCCTGTCTTGTGGAGTTACACAGGATTCAGCTCTGGTTGCCCCAGCTTCTGCTCTGCTCTTCTCCAATGCCCTTTATAGGACAAGTAACCTTTAGTGCTCTTCTGAGTGCTTACATTCATGTCTGTTCACTAGATGGGTTATAATTTAAGACGGAACGAGACTAGCAGCCGCTTCCTGTTCTGTTGCTTCTGATTGCTGGCACTTTGGTGTGAACAGCAGTGGAGGTGTCTTTCCTGGCATCCCAGAGTGTCTGCGTGTTCACTTAGCCAAATGCCCTCACTGCACATGTGTGAAGAGTGAGTTCAGGGGACAGGACACTGAGGCCCATGTCTCCCTGTCGGAGCCATACCTAGCCCAAAGCTCACCAGTGGAGCCCTGCATCACAGAACACCAGATGTAGACTCCCAGACTGAGTCATCTGCCTGAGGTTGCTCCTCAAAAAACAATGGAGCTGGGACTAGAAGCCCGGTACCCTGGGTCCAGGTGATGCCCCCACCTCCTACACTAGTCCCTGTACCTCCTTCATAGGAAAGTGCTGACTCTGGATCTTGTGCTCAGTGCATCCCACAAAGTTGGAGTCTGGCTTTGGGCCCATCAGGCTGGGCAAGTGAGCGTGTCACTCCTTAGGAATGGCCTGAGTCAGGTAGACTGGTGGTCCATCCATCTGCCCTGCATTGGGAGCCATCCTCCAAAAGACTGGGAAAGGAATTGGCAAGGAATTGGTCCCCAGTAAGCCCTGTGCACTGGCTGAAGTCCCACTGAGGGCCCCAAGCCTGTACAGCCTGGGCAACCTGGCCCATGGTGGCAGGTACTCCTGCCAAAGCTCCACATTTAGGTCACAGTTCCATAAAGTGGACAGGGAAAGCTCAAGAGAAATCTCATGGTTCTACTTAGTGGCCAAGAGCCCAGGAGCGAAGAGATCTGCATTATCCAGATCCTTCCCTGGGCAACTTTAGGCAGATCAGTCTTCCTCTCTGCCCTCTTGACAGGAGGGTTTCATTTGACCATCAGTCACGAGGCATAAGCTTAGAAGAGGACACATTTAGCATCAGAGCTTGAGCCACACATTACTGTATAGGTGAGGCTGTAAGGTGGTGGGCCGTGCCTCTTTCCCTGAAGTAGAACAGCAAGTAGCAGCATGTCTGCAGGAAGCAGAGTTGCCTTGCCTGCTGTTGTCTTTAGACTCCTGAGCAAAGCTGCTGTGGCCAGCCTTGAAGCCAGGCCCTGTGAGTCCAGC